AAATAGAACGCGTATTTTGACCTCTATGCGGTCGTTGCCAAAGAGCCCTGCGTCCATCGCCTGGCGATGCTCTTCTGTTTCACCAGTTGCGTTTTTTGACTAAAATTTGGGCAGTACTGTCAGTCACGAAAATTGATGAATAAATTAATACACATAAAATATGAATCACGGGCTAATTCAATGGTCACCGAACACTCCACTACTAAACAATCTGTGGCAAGATAGTAGCGTACTGTATATTTGACCCAGATTTGACAAGCGTGGTACAGTTTTTTGCGCGTGTCCGTAATAATGCGCACAAAGGATTGTGGGACAGAGTCCTTTATTTGCTGGCATTCTTGACTTTTGACTGCAGTTCTTTTTTTATATTTTAGAGTAAATGCTTCTGATATGCTCTTAGGTTGCTTAATATCCGTCTGAAATTCTGGACTGTGGTCATATTTTTCGATTAGGAGTCGTATATTTAAATTACTCACTGTGACTAGTGTTTTGCATTATGAAGTATATTGTTATGAAGGTCAACACACTGCAATTTAGGTAAATATTTACCATTTCGTTATTTCATTATTTCGCTTTCCAGCATTTCCGGGAAACGCTTCATTCTAAAAAATGCTATCGCAAAACGGTTGGAAATAATAAATGTAACAGCAGAATACGTCCTAGCATGTATAGTCACTCTACTAGGAGAGAGTAACTGTGGTCCTAGTACTAAACTAAGTGACTTCTAAAGACTGAATGGTGTTTGCGAACTTCGTATTAGTTATAAACCGACGTCAGCTTCACGTTTATGTCACCATGGAAACAGCCAAAAAACATGTTGCTTGTTTTTGAGCGGAGCGGATCGCCTACCGGCTTGTTTTGATTATTACTCGGTAGTGATTATAAAATACAGTAGCATACAAAATATCAGTTCATTGGTTTATGAAATGCAGGTAAAATTTGCATGCAAATATTAAAATGCAAAATGATATTCGTCATGTTTTTTTATGCACAGAAGTGATTTTATAAGTGTTGTAGTATGATCTTTTGGCATTGATTTCGGTGAAAAATACACATTAATTAAAGTGAATTTAATAAATAGAACTCAATCCAGACCACTGAAAGAATTCTTATACATGTAGTGGTCTCAACGTGGTAAACTTTTGTTATTAAACACTTGTAAACATTGTTACAGAGTTTGAATACAGTGCAATTTCAATATAAAATAGGAAATGTATACCTATAGAGCCTTGCATAACAAAAGTGTACTCGTTTGAGGTTTATGCCTTCCTGAAATGGGTGCATCTCCTGAATTTGAACTCTTTCTGCAGTTTTGCAAATGCTACTTCAGGTGCACCCAGTGTTGTATTTGAAGTGCACTGTATACAACATGTGAATGCTGACAACACTTTGCATTCAAGTTTAGTGTAATTTATAGCAGGCAAACATTTGCTGAACAGTACAGAATCAAACAATTGTAACAAAGTATAGTTGCTCTTTCACTGTAATGTACACATATTTACATGATAAAATAGGTCATAATCTCATTTGAGGTACCTATACATAGGTAATCCGACAATTTCAAGAACCTGGCACACCAATGTATGCATTGTAACTATTTATATATATATCTATAGTCAGCACAACATTTATGAGTCGCCCTTCAACACTTTCAGACTGATTTACTAGTCCATTATTTGAGATTTGTCAAAGTCCCTTGAACATACACATCTAGTCTCAATCCATGAGAAGTGTCTAGAAAAAGTTAATATAACAGCTACATGTATATTGTCGCAAAAATACTGACAAATTCAAAGAAAAATTCACATGTAATTTTAAATTGTAAACAAAAAACAACACATTTTGATACTTATTTGTTTGTTTTCACCTTGTTTACTGACCAGTGCATGTGCAATAACATTTACTGTCATGTACTAGTACCTGTCGTCACACAAGTAATTACATTTATATATAAGAAATTTACATTTATATATAAGAAATTTACATTTATATTGGATAATTAGAATACTGGCTTGATGGAAACCCTTTCACCCTCTTTAATTTTCAACAATGAAGTTGCTTTTATAACTTTAGATCAAATCTTACTTTTGTATATCTATAGTAAACGTATTAATTATTCACTGGTTTTTAATTTTGCTATACATGTATCATTGATAATTAAATCCACATGAATATGTAAAATAACAATAGAACTCTTTGTTTCTCTGCCAAGTTCATGAACTTAAAATTCAGTGAAAATACTGAAATACCCAAAGATCATCAGGTGAAAACAAATTGTGTGGTTCCTATAACCTACCCTATTTTTACTGCCTGATCATAAACTTTTTTTTGCCATTTTTGAGAAAATGTCACAAAATCACAGGCTTTGAATGAGATTTTATGGAAATTCGCAACTTTGCAAAACTGGGTAATGTAAACACTTTCAAACATCTGCAACAGTCCTCATCTGTAAGAGAAAAAAAATTATAACCATGAAAAAAAAAATGTATAGTAAAATTTAAAAAATCCCTACCTCCCTATTCTATTTTTGAAAAGCATGGTACATGTATAACCTCAACTTTTTTTTTAATTTGGCCTTACACAGTGTTGAAAAAATCCCATAAAATTATTTTCACTGGTACCACTTATATATCAAGTGCATGATGTAACCTTGATATGCACAATTTTTTTGTTTCCCTTGCTTTGTATTAATTATAGTTTGATGATCCTGGCTTTATAAAATAGTTTTTATTTTATTAATGAAAATTTAAAATACAGATAAATTATTTACCCTAGAAAGTAAAAACTTGATTTAAATTAAAACTGCACATTTCCAGTACACTGCAAATTTATATTGTTGGTTTAAAGAATAAAAAACTGCATTTGAAAGCTGATACTCTAACATCCAGGTTTTTTAAAACTATATTACATATGGGTTATAAAATACATTTATTCGTAATATATAGTTCAGTTCCAAAACGTGATCAAGCTTTGGCTCATCTGAGGTGTGTGAAACATCTGTTGATATATCATGAGACCATTATCATATGGGAACACCAGAGGGCTTGAAAATATACTGTTTATCATGAGTACAACGCTGAGTTGTCCTTAGCTTATTGGTCTATATACCCGAGCAAAAAATACATGCATCACATTGTTGTTATCGTCTGATAATATACTGTACCCTGGAATCAGGCCGTATTATTGTGTGTGGCCGGAAAACAACTTGAAATTACGTGAAACTCTGGTAAAATTTATCATATTAGTTTCATTTTAGGTGTTAGATTTTGTCCGTTGTGGAAATTTTAATTATTTTTGTGTTTTTAAATAGCAGGATGTGATTGTTTATATCACCATATGTTTACATTGAGGACACATACATGTATTCATGGCCAGGAATGGTGGGTGTTTGTTTTAATCGTTTGTAATTTTGGTGTTTTTGTGAGTGTTAAAACTGATCATTTGCCTTCACCTTAGTTAATATGCCTATTATTTTGTTATTGTAAGTTTTCTTCTTGTTTACAATTATTTTAAATTGTAAATTATAATTGAAATAATTTTCTGATGACATCAATAATTAGCTTCCAGCATGCTTGTTATTTTTGGATAAATAATGATGTTTTTGTGCCCATTTCATAATTTTAAAATAATGCTATAACAGTTTTGAATGTCATTTTAGTCAAACCAATCTTCACAAATATCTGACTCAAATGCTGAATTTGGTACACCTTGGACATTTGTTTTTATTAACTCTTTGAAGGCCATAATTTTCGCCACTGTTCAACACTTTGAGTGCCATTGGCAACTTTCAGCACTTATATTTACAAAATTATTTTGTATAGTCTGCTCTTCCCCATCATGAAATGTTCAAAAAATGACAAACCTTTTGATCAAAAACTAAAAGCAATCTGTGATACTGTCTGTATGGCCCAAAATAGTGATGAAATTCACTAAAAATTTTACAAAATGTGAAGATATTTGCACTGAAGTTTTTGCGGGAAAAATATCTGTCATTCGAAATGTTAAATGGATGTATGACAGTATTTATTGACAGATGTACATGGTGTTTTGTTTGTAGGTGCCAGAATTAATCTGGATACATACACATCTGTTATTCTGTACAGTACTGGATCACTAAATTGTTGCCATGGCTGAAGGTGGATGGGATCCGTGTGAGTGTATATGGAATCATGAACATGCTATGAGAAGACTTATATCACTGGTAAGTTTGTTGAAAACACCATCCTTTGTCACATCCCATTAAATAAACCCACAAATGTTTTTTTCCATACATGTATTTTTTTAAACAAAATTGTAGCTACAGTGTAATGGGAATTGTGACCATTTGTTCCAGAAAAATAAGTGACAGAAAAATGTGGGAAATGTTTGAGAGACTCAAACACTCAAATTAGTGTATTGTATTATTTTTGCTGATTTAGATATGAAGATGACTAGAATTATGAGCAGTATATACCTAATGTTGTAACTGATGCCCTTTGGTTGTTTTTTGTTTACTGGTTGCAGTTTGACCTATGACCTAATTGTTATTGACCACAGTTTGATTCAAGTGATTTTGGATGCATTTTAACCCATGACTTCATGGAGGGGATAATAATTTCATTATGGGAAGATTGTAAATACAAAACAGTCCGAGTAGATCATATCTATAGATTATATATGTATATATTTTTGGAGAGTTAAGTTTTGTGTTTTTGAAGACATTCAGTGAGTCCTGTCAACAATCCTGCACTTTACTGGTCACTGGTAGCATAGCAGTTGATTCATCAGACTGTAGACCCAAGTTAAAATTCTACCTTAGGCTGAACACCAAAATGGGTCGACCACTACCCTGAGTGAGTGTGCCAAAGACTCAATGGGAAGGCCAATTCCACTGGCCGAGATTCATTCACTAATGAATGCGACTTTGAGAACCTTGGTTAAAGTCCACAAGTGCTTGTGTTCGACAGAGCCTGGTTGACGCCATTTGATAGGGAGATGGCTACACAGCCCCGTCATGTAGTCCTAAACATGAATATGGCTTCTGTGGCAAAAATGCACTAAGTGTCAGCACTTGCACTTGTCAGGAGAGACGACAGTGACATTCACAATGTCTGGAATTGTCCCCTGGCACAAAAACATTTCCAAAAAAACAATCCTGCACTAATTTCGTACTGAGAAAGAGGTACCATGCCCCTATTTTCTAATTAATGGAGTATGCTATGAAAGTGCTAAAACATGAATTACATAATTTGAGTATGCAGCATATCTATATATCTCAATGGGCAGCATGTCTGTCACATGGATCATTATTCACTCTGATTTTGAAGCTCACCTTAAGGGTTCCTACTTAGCATGACAAAAATTGGTCTGTGTTTGTTTCACATGATTTAGGACAATGTACGAGAACAAAGGCATATCAATGTCCTAGGAAATTTATGATATAATAAAAATGCTAGAACAATTTATGAGAGTGGAGATTTGACTTGACGAAACAAATCAGATTCAGGATCTAGGACATTTAGTGTACATAAAGTCTTGTAATGGAACATTCTGATTGGTCCAAAAGCACTAGGTGGGTTTTAATACTACCAGTAAACAGGTTTTTTTCTAGAAGAAAACTGCAAGAGGGAGCACTGCAATTCAGCGGTTCTCCCTACCAGGGTGTGGAGTTTTTGATGATTCTAAGCTAAAATGGAGCATTCTATGGCTTTCTTGGGGCCAAAATTACTGTCAGATAGGTCACAGTTCAAGACTGTGGCCACATGTGATCCCTGGTCAATCATAATTTTATGGTTGCCAGAGGATCTGCTCTCCAGGGTAAGGAGCACATGGCCATGGCATGAGCGCGCTGCTCCCCTGTTCCCATGTTTAAAAAAATACCTGGGTATATACAAAATTTGAAAAATGTGTTGCCATGCCTTTAAAAGTTTGATATTAGTATGACTAGATACATTTTATATTAATATTTTACAGAAACCTTCGTAACCTTGGGATTTTTTTTTTTTTACAACTTACCCATCCACAATTTCAGTGTGCAAGCAGAGTTTATTTTATTATAAGAAATTTATGACCCATGGCCTGAATACACTGTAAAATATGTATTATGTACTATAATATTATGTAAAGTATTTTAGCTGGAATTAATTTTTGCTGAAAAGACTTTTTGGGTGTTTTGTATGGAATTTATTTTCAATAATTTTTGATAAGTGGAATGTAAAGAATAAGAAAAAAAGGTTTATTCGCTGGATTTTAATTTCACTGAATCATTCCTTCATAAAAATAAAGTATTTTACACTACAATGTAGATGTATTTTCTCTCTGTGGAATGTCACATCAAAAAATGTTTCCATTATTTGTGTAACGATAAATTCCATAAACGTCACAGATAAAATAAATAAAGTGATATTGATTATATCATGGTACTTATTAGCCCTGCTGTTGACTTTGTCGAGCGGAGCTTATCATATGAGTGATTGTCCATCTCTGTCGTCCATGTCAATGTTTTACTTTTTCGACTTCTTCTTGAAAACTACAAGCCTGAATGCTTTGATTCTTGGTGTATATGTACCTTGGGTAGACCTCTCTCAGATTTGTTCATTTCATGATGATATCTTCAATTCTCTAATTTTGGTGAATATTTTTGTCATTTTTGGTATTTTGGCGGGAATTAATTTTCGCTGAAAAGGCATTTTGGGTGTTTTGTATGGAATTATTTTCACTGATTTTTGATGAGTTGAATGTGAAATATAGGGTAAAAGTATATTCGCTAGATTTTATTTTCACGGAATCATCCTGTTAAAAACCGCAAGTCCAATTGCGTTGATATTACATGTATAGGTACTACATGTGGACCTCTCTCAGATTTGTTCATTTCGTAATGATATCTTTAATTCTCTAATTTTGGTGAATATTTTTGTCACTTTTGGTAAAAAGTGATATTTTCGACTTCTTGTTGAAAACCATAAGTCTGATTGCTTTGCTATTACATATATAGGTACTACAGGTAGACCTCTCTCAGATTTGTTCATTTCGTGATGATATATTTAATTCTGTAATTTTGGTGAATATTTTTGTAATTTTTGGTAAAAAGTGATATTTTCAACTTCTTGTTGAAAACCACAAGTCCCAATTGCTTTGATATATTATACATATAGGTACTACATGTGGACCTCTCTCAGATTTGTTCATTTTCTAATGATATCTTCTGTTCTTTAATTGCCATGTGCATTGCTAACAGCGGAGCTATCTCAGCCGATAATAAAAAAAAGGACTTCAATTACAAATTATTTCAGCTGGATCGCAGATTGTCACTCCTAACATGTTATTCCGGTTCAATACACAAGTGTAATGCAAGTGTCCTGCTGTTCCCGGTTTTCATTTGTTTGATTTGTAATACTTTTAGCAATCGACACCAGCAGCTTTCAACTTTGTACATCAATTTTATAATTCTAAATTCTAAAACAGTTTCTATTATTATTTCCTGCATACTAAGTCATTGAAAAACATTCAAAATTAACAATTTAATAATTGATTAACAATTGTTCAGGGGTTCTGTAGCTGATAAGAAGAATTGTGCTAATTCAATTCCAATTTGAAATATTTGTGGACGGACATAAATGGGTATATATGAGGCAGTAAATAATTGAAATTTGTGCATAGCAAATGTAATCTTTTAGTTCAACATTCAACCTCTACCTCATAAGTCAAGTTGAAGCATGGAGCTAAAAAAAGAGCTCCATGGTTGAAGTTACTTTGATAGCTAAATTCCAGTGTTTTCTGAATGTTCAAGTATCATAGCTAATTTGCATGAGCTTGCCAACATAAAACTATTTTTCCGTAGTTATCAAAACGTATATATAAACTTTCACATGCTTTAGGTAGCTCAAACATTGAAAACAGTTTGGCAGTATGGGGAATAATAGTATACATTTTCCATCTGTCCTGTATTAACCTTTTCACCACCAGACTTTCTTGCCCAAATTTGCGCTTTTTTCTTGTATTCTTCAATATTTCTGGAAATTAACCTTAATTTTGGAGCCAACAGACAAAATTTGAGTAAATTTTCAGTTTCTATTTTCACTTGGCTATTTTTGTCCTAATTTTCTGAAGGAAAATTCTGACCATAAAAGAGACCATTTTGTGAATTTGTGATGAAAATAGGGAACTAGTGGTGAAAAGGTTAACTCTCACTGTGCTAAGGAGAAATTTCCTCGAAGTCAATGTTTCTGTTTTGAACTCCAAAGTCAATTATTGTCACCTTACATAAATCAAAACTTCTGTCCTGAATTTTTTCAAAAATGTTGTTGAAAACCTGTAGTTGATAAAAATTTATATTCATAAGGTTTATAATTAACAAATAAATTATGGAAAAATACATCAAAAAGGGCAAATTGATGCAACTAAATTTGGAATGAAAAAAAAACCTGCCACTCAAAGGGCCTCAGTTACTACAATATTACAAACATTGCATCCCGTAAATTTACAGTTTACAGTACCAAGTACTGTGAAAACTTTTGATATTTTGAGCATATACACTGGGTCACTAACAATGGGATTTAGTGTTATTTTACATGTTCACATGGATTTATTTTAGCAAATTTCACTTAGCAATGATAACAAAATTAAAATCTAGTGAATAATCAATGCAATAACAGTAGTTTCATTTAATTTCGTAGATGGGATAATTGCTTTCTGTTTTATTCACAGCTGCGAAACTCACAGAATTATTGTACAGACAATGAATGTGTTACCGATTGTAAGTATTTACAGAAAGTATTGTCATTAATTATTCATGAACTTCAGGCATCATTCAAATTTAATTTAAAAGTTTAGATTTTACATACAAATATTTTTTTTCATGTGATAATAATTTTTATTCAGAGTATCAAATTTAAAACAAATGCTTCAAAAATCGAAATAATTATGCCCCAAGTGTTTATTCAATATAGTGACATTATTAGAGAGCAATGAAATACCATGCACACTTTTGAACACTGGTGGCGCTCCAACTTATGAACCATTTTCATAAACATTAAATAGATGTAGAGGGCAGTATAACACAGTCCTGCTATAATTTTGAAATAGAGGGCGGTATAACAACACATTGCAGCAATAGATCTCTTCAGTCTAATTGTTGTATCATAAAGAATTATGAGTATTTTTCGAGTGAAATCAAAACATTACTGCTATTGCTTGTATGACTTTGCCTTTCATAATACCCATAATTCTTTCTGATAGAACAGTTTGGCTTTATGCGAACATATTCTCAAAAGACTCTTGAGATCTGCTTAGAATACTAGGCTGAGGTAACATCTGTACTGATTTCTTTACATACAGTACCTGGACCCAATAGTGAGGGTGCTGATGGAGGCTACACAATGATGATGATCATGGTGGCATGGATGGTGGTTGCTTTTCTACTTTTTCTATTCAGACCTGCAAGTCTAAGACTTCGAGGTGATGAAAAACCAAGGAATGGTAATCAGGTGTGTCTCCCATTTCGCCAACAAATTTCTGTAAACCGTTAAATTTTTGATGCCTGAAATGTTTAATGGGTGGCAGTCATTAAGCCATGCATGAGCTAGATATTGGTGCCATATTAACTTTTATCTCAGTGCAATGCGCACACATCCATAGAACCTAACTGAGTGTTATGCAGATTGGAGTATTATAAAGAGTTGGTACCAAGATTTATATAGATAAATTATGACCTGTTGCATATTTCCTGACATGAGCACTTCGTCTAATTTGTTC